ATGGTGCTTGGAACCCAGTGGGTGCCCAAGAAATGTTTTTTCAAGAAATGAATCAGGATATCCATGAATAATGAAATGACAAAGTCTCTTAAAGCCGCTCACTCTGAGCAGCAAACTTGGCGCATGTGCCTTTGGGCTTCCCCAGCGGCTCACGGCAAACCGTCCACCTGCACCGCAGGAGCCGAAGGAGGTGCGGTTTAGATCCCTGGGTCGGGAAGATCCCCTGGAAAAGGGCATGGCAGCCACTCCGGTGTTCTTGCCTGGAGAATCCCATGGACGGAGGAGCCTGGTGGGCTACAGTCCATGGGGTCATAAGGAGTTTAACACGACTGAGCGACCTAGCACAAGCACACACTCTGTATCGAGGACAGCAGTAGGAGAGCTTTATTTCGGGCTCAGGATGCCCAGAAGCAGGCATAAAAGCAGCCATATGTAGCCAGTTGTGTCAGTTGGATACCTAAGCTAACTTTGTTGGACTTACAAATAAATTGGACTTATGATTGTGCTGTAGTAATGGAACTTGTTCCTATGTAAGGGGCTTACCATAGTGTTGAGGTAGGGAAATCACATAACTTATCATTGAAACCAGAGCACAAGGACAGCAGAAGTGAGCCAGGATGGAGCCATCATACTAGGATCAAGACTGCCCAATCACCCAGGCTCCGCAAGGAATAGCACATGGAGAAGGAGACAGATTCCCCAAAAGCAGGCCTTGGACGGGGCATTTCTCCAGTAAGAAGCCTTTGTTACTGCCATTCCATTCAGCTCCTGAAATTTTCTGAGAAAAAAAGTGACAAGTCAAAGGTAAAGAGGAAAAACTGGATTTATCAGTAAATACACAAACAAATCTCTCACTCACCACTGGCCCAAATAGTGCTGTGTTTTGTTTTGTTTCGTTTTTCTCTCTCACTTTGTCATTTAAATTTGCAGCAATTTAACCTGGAGGAGACACCCTGAGCAGAGATGCCTGTCCAAGCTGACCACTGATGCACTGTGACTCAGAACCTAGTGTGATGCTACTTACAGGCTTCCCAGGGCTGAGAGGTGTGGATGTGAATGCATTAAGCAAGCAGCGATTTTGTCTGAGTCACTGTGACGTCTTGTGTCCCAAACACCAGTCTGGAGGCTCAGTGTTCTTGCAACAAGAGGGGGAACAAAAGACCGTTGATAAACTCAGAACTTCTAAGTATCAGAAGGAAGAAAGACAAGAGAAATGAAAATGAAATACCATCAGAGAACACTTGATGAAAATGTAGAGACTTTCTGGGTTTTTTGAAAGCCAGGTAAAGGATATACCCCTTCCTACTTTGCTCCCCACTTCCTTTATTTTTAAACTCGTAGTCTTTAGCTTTTAATTAATAGTAGTGTTTTGGAGTCGTTTCATTTTTTCAGGAAAATTGAGCAGAGAGAATATAGAGCTTTCACGCACTCTCCTCCCCTCCCCTAGTTTCCTCAGCTGTTAACCCTGCCATTAGGATGACACATGGGTTACAAATCGTAAGCCTGCATTATTTTAGTTATTGTTATTAATTAATTTGATTACTTAACTACATTATTATTAACTAAATTCCATAGTTTACATCGTGTTCACTCTATATTTCACATCCTCTACACTTGGCCAAATGTATAATGACAGGTGTCCTCCAGTTCGGTATCACGCAGAATGGTTTCATAGCTTGAAGTGGTGGACACAGGTTGTTTCTGTGTCTTGGCTCTTGTAACAAATGCTATAATGAATGCAGGAGCGCAGATATCAATTTCATTTCCTTAGGATATGTAACCAGAAGTGGGATTGCTGGATCATATGGTAGTTCTACTTTCAATGTTTTTGAGGAACTTCTCTACTATTGTCAATAATGGGTGAATCAACTTCCCACCCATGGTGACCAAGAGCTCCCTTTTATTTAAACTTTTGCCTCTTGAACTTTTGTCTCTTTTCAATGATGGCCATTCTAACAGGTGTGAGGTGATAGTGCGATTTTGATCTGTGTGTCCCTGATGATCAGCAATGTTGCACACCTGTTTGTATACCTGTTGGCCATGTGTATGCCTTCTTTGGAGAAATGCATATTTAAGTCCTTTGCCCATTTTTTACTGAGATATAATTGACATATAACATTAACTCTTTGAAAACCAATATCACTTATCAATGCATAAATGTGGAATCTAGAAAAATAGTATAGATAAATTCATTTGCAAAGCAGAAATAGAGACACAGTCAGAGAGAACAAATGTGTGAACACCAAGGGAGGGAAGATGGGGTGGGGTGGATTAGGAAATTGGGATTGACACAAATACATTACTGATACAAGGCGTGACATAGGCAACTAAGGAGAACCTGCCATATGGCTTAGGGGGCTCTACTCACTGCTCTGTACTGACTTAAATGGGAACGGAATCCGAGGAAGACGGGATATATGTGTATGTGTGGTCGATGCTGGGAAAGATTGAGGGTAGGAGGAGCAGGGGACGACAGAGGATGGCATCACCGACTCAATAGACATGAGTTTGAACAAGCTCTGGGAGTTGGTGATGGACAGGGAAGCCTGGCGTGCTGCGGTTCATGGGGTCACAAAGAGGTAGACACAAGTTGGTGACTGAAAAACAGCAATGGCTGATTCACTTTGCTGTACAGTAGAAGCTAACATAGCTCTAACATTATAAAGCAACTACACTCAAATTTTTTTAAAAAAGCTCTTTGAGAGCGTGAAAACAGCCATGCTCTCCGTCCCTAGCACTGGGTGCTCGAGGAGCTCCTGGCTTCTCGCGGCTAAGGCTCAGGAGCGTGCCCCCCTCCGCCGTGCCCAAAGGCTGGTTTGGCCGCCACCTCTCCCAGTCCTGTGTCTCTGCCCAGGGCCCATGGGTGCTTTTGAAGCCCTCTCTGTAATGGTGACCGTCAGCTCAGTTCCCATCCCTTCGGGGACTCTGAGTTTCTGGAATGGAGGCTGTGACTGGACACTCACTCTGAGCCTCTATCAGAGAGGGAGGTCCTACGGCTCAGCGTGGCCATCCCCCTGCCCAAGCCTGGTCTCGCGGCTCTGCTGAGCTTCTGCACAGCCCACACCAGGGGCCGTGGAGAAGGACCCAGCATCCACCAGACAGACTGCCTTCGCTGTCTGTCCTAGATGTTTAAAGTGAACAACTCATTCTTTCACACCCGCCATTGTTGGGCTGTGGCTGTCACAGTACTGCAGTTAACCTGCCAGGTTACCCCTGAGCTGGGCCACGGTGGCTTCTGGGCTTTGTGCCGTGTGACAAACGCGCTCAGAAAAGGACCACTGGCGGAGCAGGTGGAGCCATTCCAGTGCTGTGAGGCAAGTTCACGCGGCATTTTAAGGAGATATTCTTCAGTCTTATACTCTCTGGAAATCATTGCTTGCTTGCTACTTTACATGTTATTATTAAAGAATAAGGGCTTCCCTGACGGCTCAGTCACTAAAGAATCCCCCCATAATGCAGGAGATTGCCCGCAGCACAGGAAACCCAAGTTCGATCCCTGGGTCTGGAAGTTCCCTGGAGAGGGAAATGTCAATCCACTCCAGTATTTGTCTGAAAACTCCCATGGACAGAGGAGCGTGGTGGCTACTGCACAGGGCGTCACAAAGAGTCAGACATGACTGAGCATGCATGCACCCTTCAGGGTCCCAGTAGGGAAGCTGGAAACCCAGCCTTGTCCGCCACCACTGGCAACAATAGGATGGCCCATCACTGCAGGAGGGAATCAGTGGAGGTCTTGGACTGACTGTTCTAAGACAGTGTAAGAGAAGGGGGATTTGAGGGACTCTTCTGTGTTCAGCCCTCTGAGAGAGTTCTGGAAGGAAGCGTTCATCAAGGTGACACTGAGAAGGCAGTGAATGTATTATGGACACAATTATCTGATCATCACTTCATGTTATCACAAATAGAAATTAAGGAGGATTTCTTTTTTTTAATTATTTTATTTTGTTTTTTTGGCCACATCTAACAGCATGCAGGGTCTTACTTTCCTGACCAGGGATCAAACCCCATGCCCCCTGCAGTGGAAGCTCTGAATCTTAACCACTGGACTACTAGGGAAGTCCCTAAGAAATTTTTCTAATAAAATATTCTGATTGATGTCTGGTTTTTTCTGTTGTGAATTTTACTCACTGCATTATTGTGAATATTGAGGGCTTCCTGATGCTTAGAGGTAAATAATACACCTGCCAATGGATAAGACACAAGTTCTATCCCTGGGTTGAGAAGATCCCCTGGAGAAGGAAATGGCAACCCGCTCCAATATTCTTGCCTGGAAAATCCTACAGACAGAGGAGCCTGGCAGGCTACAGTCCATGGGTAGCAAAAGAGTTGGACACACTTAGCGACGATACAACTGAACACTATTGAGAAAGAAAGAGAAGGATGGAAGGAGAGAGGGAGGGAAAGAAAAATCTGATTCAATTTAGAGCCTAAAAAGATTTAGCCAAAGATTCTACTAAAACGTGCACTGAATCAGACTTCCACTTATCCACAGTCTTTTCTCATGTGTATTGAGTACTAACAATCCTCCAGGAATTCAAGGCATTGCATGTATTTATTATAGTCAATACAGAATTCATGATGTTATATTTACATATACAAGGAAAATAACAGATTTTAAGACCCAGCCAAAGTTGAAGCCCTTACATTGGTCTTCCAAAGGTAAAGTGGCCACTTAACCAAGAGCTCACTGATACAAACAAGTCAAGAAAATCTAATCTTCTAAACTGTTTCCCACTGACTAGATCGTATCACCTGGATAGCACTTAAACGAGGCCCCAAAGATAAAAGAGACAGAAAGGCTTGTTTGTAGTTATAGCTTCCTCCATGATGGCCATCATCTGAGGCTTCACCAACTCGTGGGATAAGCTGGGAGGTGTCCTAAACCCATTCTGCAGAGGAGCAAACTGAGGCATGGAGGAGGGTGAGGTATGAACCGCTTTTAGTCCTGGTTGGTCGCTGCGCCTCCTCTGTGACCCTGAGCCTTGCTTCACCCATTCTGCTCAGGGAGAGGCCAGCTTGCCACAGAAGAGAATCATGTTGGTGTGAAAGTGCCTGATGAAGAGCAGGAAGGGGCGGTTCGCCAGGAACTGAGCTCGGACGGGAAGTCTTTTTACTGCCAGGACGTCGCCAGTGGCCGCGGCTGCCTCTGTGCCCTCCTCGCTGACCTCCACGTGGGACTTGTGGATGACCTTTGATACAAAGAGGCCCTTGCCTGGTGACATTCCAGAAAGATCTGCTTTGACCCGGCTGAAGATGTCTGTCATGCCGAGGGACTCTAACAGGGAGTTGAGCTCGTACTTGATCTCCAGTTTGAATCTCGGGAGATGCACTTCCACGTCCCTCTCCACCATGTTGGACGGGTTGGTCCATTCCTGAAAGGTCTTCGAGTTCAGCTGCTTTTCTACCTAAGAGACAAAACATGAGTGACCCAACGAGAGCTGAACACACGCCCTCCATGTTAAATGCTGTTTGTTTTCTAATTCTTGGTGTCAACAATTCAACATCCGTTTCTTCTCTACCTTTAAAATGTGCTCAAAAAAGCAAAAATGTCACATGCAGCCACACCTTCCCTTTTCTCCTGTCTACTTCTCACTGATGCTTCATAATTAAACTTCTGTGTGTATCCTACACTCTTTTGCCTCATTTCCTCAGCAGGTAGGCATCTCTTAAACGCCCTCTATTGCCGTGAAGTCCTTGTGCCCCATTTCCTGGATGAATTCAACCATCTCTTCTGGGCACATACATCTGAAACATGAGTCACGTCTCCTTTATGAGCCGGTTTCTCTGGGTCACGCTCTAATCTTCCCGTGTCCTGCCCTCATTGTGCTGGAAGCTTCTGAACCCTGGATGCCCTCTGCCTTCACCCAGCAATTCAGTACCCGTGTCTGTGCTCCGATTTCCCCCCAAGCAGCCTCACAACTCAGACCTCTCACCCTACATCCAGTTTCAAGAGTTTCTGAAGCCCTTCAAATTCTACCCTTGGTCATTTGAAACTCTCTGTTCAGACCTCCCTGCAGCTCCAAATCAGTATATCAAACCCCATCAATCCACTACAGGAGTTGAAAACTCTTTTGTCATGCTTTTCCCCATCCTGACAGTATAAAATCAGACATAAAACAAAGGCGGTTTTAATTCCTAAGCCCGTTTTCCTTCTGTGATTTTCTGCCCTGTTCCAAGCTACCGTGACTTCATGTCAGACCCACCTCGCTCCCTCGTACTTCTAAGGCATTTGCACTTGTTTTTTGCTGTGGTTGAAGCACCAGGTACTGCCTTTGTTCCACTTCATCTCCTACTTATCCAGTGAGGCTGGCATCGAGATTACCCTACTAGGATACCGTCCTGATCTCCTCACTCAAATTTGGACTCTCTCTGCTTCCACATGGCTTTCTGCAGGGTCTATCCCAGCACTCCTGACACTTCACCTCTGTGTTGTAACCACACATTCATCTGTGTTTCCAGAACACAGCAGAGTTTCCAGCATGCTGTTGACAGTGTTTGGTGTATGAATGAATAAATGAACAATTAAATAAATGAATCACAATTTAATAAAAACCATTTCTGGGACATCCCTGGAAGTCCAGTGGTTAAGACTCCACCCTTCCAATTCAGGGGGCACGGGTCTGATCCTAGTTGGGGAAATTAAAATTCACATACTTCACAGCACAGCCCAAAGGCAAAAAAGAACACTTCTAAATTGCTTCCAGCTGCTCCATGCCTCCAAATATCTCTCGCTGAAGCCCACAGACCTCCAGAGGCCTGAGCCCCCCTGCAGTGGCCACCCCTCTGACACACATGCCGGCACAGCCCGCGCTCCAGAGCGCACACCCCACCCAGGGGTGTCCAGAAGGCTTCCCTGCTTTCCCGAACTAGGGGTCGAACGCAGTCTCCCACATTGCTCTCTGAGCCACAGGGGAAGCCCGCTGTAGAAAGAGGTTTCCCAGATGTCCAACGGCCAGTGTGTGCATGTGTGCATGTGCACGTGCGCGCATGTATGTGTGCATCTGTATGTCTGTGTGTACTGGTACCACAGGCACTTCTGCCTCCAGCTGCCCTTTCTTTAAATGTAAGAATAGATTGTTCTCCCTAAATACATCATCCTGAAGTCAGGGACTTCAGGATGTCCACCCTTTGCTCTCATAGCACCTGGGCAGAACTGCTGAACCTGATAGAATTAGTGACTGGTAACACTGTGTGGTCATGAAATACGCATTGCATGTGTGTGTGTACACATACACCCACGTCTTCGCTGCACATTAGCATTCTCATAACCTCACCTGGTCTATGTCAGCCGTGCCCACTGGAAGCAGAATGATCATACCGAGTGTGTTGTTGACATAGGGCAGCTCCAAAACCTGCATCTGTGGTTCCTCAATGAGAGCCATTTTAAACTTCCCAGTCTGATACATCATCTCCACAGTTACACTTTTACCCTATGTTTAAAAAAAAAAACAAGTTGTAATTAGATGGTACAGTTACATATGTGTGTGTACAGGTATGCATACTGATTTTCCTTTCAGATTAACAAGGATAACTGCATTAGCACCAGAAAGGCATGGGCAAAACAAAAATTACAAAATACACCCTGTATTACATTGCTTTGCAAAGTTTATAAGTTTTTTTAATTTTAAAATGTCTGTGTTAGAGCCTGACTACTTCAGATAGTATACATACTAATAAAAATGATAGCATATATGTTTCCCCAAAACAAAGGCAAGGTCTCTAAATAAAGTGATTTATGTGGCAAAAAGAGATTATAGGATCATGTCCTTTTTTTGGATCTGATTAGAGACTCTCTGGGAGAAAAATCTACAACAAACTTTGCTGTGTTTCTAGAGAAACTATTTGCTAGAGAAAGCATGTCTGGGAAGAATGTAGACCCAGAAGAACAGTAAGAAAGGACGGACTTTCTTCTAGTCCTGATCACCCCATTAGGTGCCCTTTGAGAAAGGTTACCATCACTTCATGGGAGCAACAAAAACAAAATTCATGGAAGCACAAAGCCTAGAACCAGTATTTTCACTGAAACTTTATAAATTGTCTTTAATGAATATGGCATTCTCTGTAATTGATCATCCATCCGAAAATAAAATACTCACCTTACTTAACTGAAAAGGGGTTTTAAATGTCTCTCGTTCCTGAAACTTATTCTGCCATTGTCCTTTGAAATATATGGCATTCACCAGGACCATGACACAGGAGGGCTCAATCGTGCCTTTTCCAAAGAGGTTAGTGACTTTTCCTTGTAATAAAAAAACAAGAATAAATAATGTATTTGGATTTGAACTTATTGATAGTAGAGAGTTGAAGAGTTACAAGAAATCTGGAGCCTTTGTTAAGGCTAATTATAGATTTGAGATGCCAGAAGAATTCCTTCATCTGTGGCCATAAAGCATGTCCTTGTCAAATGATGTTTATTTCAAAGAATATTGAAGGCTTTGTTACTTCTAATCAGAAGTTGGCATTCAAGGAATACCAAGTATATTAGCTATGAATCACCCTGTCTTGTAACTAGTCATATCCAATGCTTTCTTATACATAACTGCTTTTTTAAAAAATTCTATAATTCTTTTTTAAAAAATTCCTATAGTGTGTTAGCCACTCTGTTATGTCCCAATCCTTGGGACATAGCCCGCCTCGCCCGCCAGGCCCGTCTGTCCATGGGATTTTCCAGGCAAGAACACTGGAGTGGGTTGCCATTTCCTTCTCCAGGGGGTCTTCCTGACCAAGAGATCAAACTTGAGTCCCCTGCATTACAGGCATATTCATTACCATCTGAGCCACCAGGGAATCATCTCCTGTGGCTTAATTTTAATATCTATCAGACTTTATAGTTACTAGTACCTCACCAGTTGCAAATATGTTACATATTCCAAAGATTCACTGGTCCTTTCAGTATGCTAACTTTAGTGTATCACTAGCATATATGCCAACACTTGAAGTAAAAATATATCTGAAAAGTCAGGATTTATAAAACTATACCAATAATTTCTTGCTGTAAATATATTGATCAAAATGGAACACCAAGCCCTCTTGGAGCATTTTGGAGTGTTGCAATTTATAGCATTTTTTTGGAATATAATCTATCATATAATATGAAACAGGGGTATATGAAATATCAGACTTTAAGCTTTATGAGAGCTTTCATTTTTATTGAACTTTTGGACCAAACACAATACCTAGCATGTAATAACCATGATGAACATCATCTGATTATATATATACATATGTGTATACATACATATATATATGCATACATATACACAAATGAATGGATAATTAAATACACAAATTAGTGACAAAATAACAATAACAGTCTAAATAAATATGCAGCATGTGGATATGTAATGACAGACAACACTAATCAATCTACGCTCAAAATTTTTACAAAACTTTTATGTGCCAGGCATTATTCTAGGCACAGAGCACTAAATTGAGGCCAGAACACAATCTAAACAAACACATCTAGTTTCCCCCTTAACGTTAACTCAGCAAGTTTATCAACACAGCTCAAATAAAGTTTGGAGACACGTGGTTGACTTATCCTCACCATCAGTTTTGCTTTCAACCCAAGCATTGATGGTTTTCCTTGTTTCTTCAGCAGACCGTTCAAAATCAACAGTTTGCAGCCTGGCTTGATACAATTTCTCAGAACAGTGTAAGTATTGCTGTAAAAGAAAGGACAGTTGCATAACACCAAAAAAATAGTGTAAGGAAAGTTATTGCTTAACTGGATTCTTTCGTGCCTGAATCCAGGGAAAGCTTAATTGAGAGTAAAATCTGGCCCTTGACCCAGTTCTTGCCCTGAGCTGCGTCCAGCTGCGGCTGGAACATGCTTACGTGACTGCTCACAGCCCACGTGGTGGGAGTTTTTCAAGACGAATCCTGGGATATCAGTATCTTCTGACACAGACCGAGACAGCCTAATGAAACTAATGGGGAGCTTCTCAAGTCAGCTTCTCACGTCAGATGTAATCATCATGGTCTCAAGTACAATTACGCCCAGATCATGGAAGCTTTGAGGGAGAACAAGAGAGGGGCCCACGGCTGTTAATCCCCTCACTTCAGGTCCTCTCTGCAAACGTTCTCGTTATGCTGCTAGGGCTATAGAAGGAAATACCTCTGAAATATCTGTGATACCAAGATGGGCCACACTAAGTTGCCAAGACTCTGACAATCCAAATCTTGTTGAGTATAAGATGTGGCCTGCACCTCCAGGCGAGGGAAGAACATTAGAAAGTCAAGGCTGTATCTTGCTTCACCCAGCTGACGTGTAAGTTGTTGTCGCCCAGTTGCTCAGTCATGTCCGACTCTTTGTGACCCCATGGGCCACAGCATGCCAGGTTTCCCTGTCCTTTACTATCTCCCGGAGTTTACTCAAACTCATGTCCATTGAGTCGGTGATGCCTTCCAACCATCTCCTCCTCTGTCATCCCCTTTCCTGCCTGCCTTCAATCTTTCCCTGCATCGGGGTCTTTTCCAATGAGTCAGCTCTTCTCATTACGTGGCCAAAGTACTGGAACTTCAGCTTCAGTCCTTCCAGTGAATATTCAGGGTTGATTGACATCTAAGTAACACTGGTCAAACCAAAGCTGTGTCACTGAATCTAGGATTTCACCTCAGTCATCGCAGGATAAGGTAGTATTTAATATACAGGAAGATGGGTTTAGATAGGGATCAAATCTAAGCTTTATCACTTTATGTCTGTGGCCTTTATAGAATCTGCTTCATGATTGTAGAACTGATAACAATTTTATAACTATATCTTACAGGACTGTGTAAGGAATATATGAGATTAAGTAGAATGACTGGCATGTAATAAACACTCAGTAAAACTGTATATGTTAATGCCATTGGGAAAATGGCATCATTAGTGTTAGAATTTGGGAACTAGAAAGAACATAGTCTAATCCTCTCATCTTACAGGTGGAAGGGATTTGTCCAAAGTCATGCCTCAATGGGAACAGCTCTCTTGGCTCCCAGCCCAGTTTACTTTCCATTAACTCTCAATATTCTGCCATTAAGGACCTTTGAAAAAGAGATAAGAAATATATTTTATTTTCTTTCTGGTTCATAAGGAATAATTACTACCAAATTTATTTTGCGCTTCATCCATGACCTTACTCTTGGACAACATCGGCGATTTGCAGGAAGTTATGTGACATTTCACAACCTTAAATAGGAGTTTGGTAAAAACCATTTCACTGAAACTCTAACTCTGCTCAAATGCAATCTCTTAAAGATGAACACCTTGTTACACTTCTTATCCTTCATTTTATTTTATAATGTGAAATTCAGAGGATGCCAAGAAAGCTGCTGACCACTGTTCCAAAGGGACTTACCTCATGGAATGCCATCGCCTTTGTCCCGTAGAGTCTGTTGGCGATGCTGAGGATATAGCTGGAGTCTGACCGATTGATCTGGGAGAAAAGGACTCCTAACTCTGAGTGAATCCTTCCAGCTCGGCTGCACTGAAGCACCAGTAAATAACGAATGGAATATTAAGTTATTTGATTTCTTGCCATTAGAGAGTATAAATAATGTAAACAATGACCAGACAGCAAGATGTCAGCCTCTGAATGGAAGGGCCGTGAATATGAACAAAGCCAGAGTTGGCAAGCTGAGAGCCTTCTCCTTCTCTAGATTTCCTCTCCCACAACAATCTCGGCACTCTGGGACTTTGGCTACAGACCGTGTGCAGAACTGTAAACCACTGCAAATACATACGGACTTGTCAGCTCTCATGGTTTAATCCAAAACCAGACATTTTAATGAAGAGATCCTAGTGGAGATCTTCAGAGTGATCATCCAAATTTGATTGTTGCCTTTGTACCTAAAGAATCATTTTCCTTCTCTATCTATCATGCTCCTTTCAATGTCTCCATTTTCTATGTGATCATTTAATCATATACTGAGCTCTTTATTGAACTGAACTGACACACCCATCTGTCCCTCACAGAAGCAATTCATTTAAGCATGTGGCTTTTTTTTAATTGAAGGATAATCGCTTTACTGAATTTTGTTGTTTGCTGCCAGACCTCAGCATGAATCAGCCACATGTATGCATATATCCCCTCCCTTCTGAACCTCCCTCTGCTTCCCTCCCCATCCCACCCCTCTAGGTTGGTACAGAGGCCCTTGTTTGAGTTCCCTGGGACTACAGCGAATTCCCATTGGCTATCTCTTTTGCATATGGTCATGTAAATTTCCATGTTATTCTCTCTATATATCTCACCCTCTCCTCCCCTCTCCCCACGGCTTTGATGCATCTGAATTCATGGAAATTGTAGGGTTTATGCCTATATTCCCCAAAGTGAAAGTTCCCAAACCATGGACTCTAATCTCCTAACAATAAGGGTTCCATGAAGCAGGTATTCTATGACTCTAGGCATTTATGTCTTTCCTCAATCAATCACAATCAACATACATATATTTTCATGTGGCAGTTCTATTTAATTTTGATGTCAAAAGGCATCCTTTTATTAGAAAGAACAGAGACCATAGTCCTGGAACACGTGGGCTGGGTGACATCAGGCCCTGTTTTCCTGCTATAGAATTAAAAAGTAAAGCATCGGGTTCTTTCTCAGTCCCCTCATTAGACTGAAGACTTGACCCTGCATAAAAGAACCTGGCAGACTCACCATGGGGCACAGTCCATAAGAGAACAGAAAACTGAATGAGGATAACAAAAATCAGATGATAAAATCTGGGGGACTTGACTACGGTTGTTATTATCACTGTGTTAAACCCTATTGGCCATAGTCACGCTCAGGAGGAGTAAAGGAGGAAACCGGGGATTCACCTGCTCTCTTATGAATCAGTGAAGTGCTCTGCCCCTCAGCGCCTGGACTGTGTTGTTTCTTGGTGCTTTTTTATCAAAGAGCAAGCGACAGCTCAGCAGAGATAGTATCATACCTTAGCCAAGTCCTTGAACTCTGGTCCTGATGATTCTACAATATGATTAAAGTGAAGCACCTAGAAAAAAGATGAGACAGATTGCCATCAAAAGCAACATATAGTCTACAGAGGCTGACAGTTACAAGTTTTTCCTCTTCAGATAAAGACCAGTGGTGAGAGCTAACGTTTAATGATGTTATATTACAAATCCTGAACTAAGCCTTTGCATATCTTACTTAATGCTCCCGACAACTTTTAAAGTTGATACTGTCTACTAAAGTAGATACTATTATCCTCATTTTCTGTTAGGGAAATTGAGTTCATGAGGCTAATCCACTTGGCCCCCGACTCTTATTGCCTGTCTGGCCCCAGGCCCTGAGCCCTGGTTCACAGACTCCTCCGCTCCTCCCCCACTGCTGCCAGGCCAGCACTGACAGTAAATTTCAGTCACTTATGTGTGAAAGCATTGATGGCAAGAAAGAGATGGAGCACGGCATGCACTGTGTTATTTGCATTGTAAGGTATAGCCTTATCTAAGCCATTAGTCCTAAGAAATATGCTTTGCCCACATGTGGCTCTTCTTTCACAAGGTGGCAGCGTTTTCTGGGTATGGAGGTGTAAGTCCTTCTGAGGAAGACCCCCAGGCCACCCAGGACTCCTGCTGCGCCCAGTACCTTCTCCATCTGCCCTGCGCTGTTTCCTCTGGCTCCCAGGAGGATCACACTAAGAGCGTAAAGAAGACTCAGCGGCGAGAAGAAGACATTGTCTCCTGCGTGGTTATAGGTCAGCTCCTTGAAGACATCCAGACAAAATTCAACATTTGCTGCGCTGAGGGCATCCATTTCAGGCAAAGCCCTACCTGAGAATGGAAGGGAAAAACAATCTCAGACTTACCTGGAGGCACAGATTATAGCGAGCATTCAGTTATGACATTCCATGAAAGCAAGCATCTGAGCCCACTGCTTCATGAAAAGTTACAGCCTGTTGTCATCCTTTCTGAGGAGCTAATAAATGCTGGGATGGAGGAAGGGCCTTCACAGTAGTTTTTTATTCTCATGAAGAGAAGATCTACTGTTCTCTTCAACCAGTACTTCAAAGCTCTCTCTCTATTATTTGTGTACATTTAAGAGTGATGGCTGATTTTTCTGGAACAAAAACACAGAAGAAATTTGATCCCTTGGCTCTCACTTTCCACGCTTTAGGTACTCTCCTCATCCTGGAATCTGTACAGAAAAGTCCTTGAGCTGCACAGCCCTGCCAAAAGAGATCCTCCCCAACCAGCTCCCGTCTCCACGGTCTCCATCCCGTCACTCCTGCAGAACCAAGGTGAAAGACGGCCGGCAGGCTTGGTCTCTCTTGATATTCTCTGCACATTTCTTCTCCTTGCTGAGCCTTATCTCCTGTCTCCTCCACAAAAGTAAGGGGATCCTAGCAAATAGGTCATGCCATCCAAAGGTGGCCAAAGTCCTCAGCCTCACAAGACATCAGGAAAAATGGAAGAAAAGAGGAGGAAAATTTGAGAGGAAAGAAAAGATGCTGGGAATGAGTGTTCTTTAAGGACAGTGGCACGTCAGGAAGGAGGAATTTATTTGTTGGATCCCCCAAACATTTACTGAGCACTGCCAAGTGCAGAAACAATCGAGCATCATTCTTACCCTCGGGAGTGTTTCACTTTCTAGGACCCTCCATTGCCAACAAACACTGTCTTCCTTTAACCTCCTGGTCATCATTCTCTCTTGCCCCATCACTGGCTCATCCAGCCACACCTTTGGAGCCACCTCAGTCTCTTTCAGGATTTTTCTCACCTTCTCAAACTCTGGACACAGTAAAACATCAGGATGCAAATCTTTGCCTTCTATACTGTTCTAGTTTAGTTGTCCAGTCACGTCTGACTCTTTGCAACCCCATGAACTGTAGCCCTCCTGGCTCCTCTGTCCATGGGATTCTCCAGGCAGCAATACTGGAGTGGGTTGCCATTTTCTTCTCCAGGGGATCTTCCCAAACCAAGGATCCAACCAGCATGTCCTGCATTTCAGGCAAATTCTTTACCACTGAGTCACCAGGGAAGTGACCCCCTCCCAGCCTTGTATTACATTTTTTAATACATTTACCACATATATTATAAATGTGTGAATTTTATACATTATATATACATGACTTTATGTAAATATAAGTAATGTTTATGTCTATTTACATAAATAAAACACATATATGTAGTATACGTGTATCTACTGCCTGACCTTCTCTCTAGAGTACGATCTGCATTAAAGCAAGGAGTTTGCTTTTTATGCTTTATTCCAGCACCAGTCCTGACCAATTCACTAAATATCTATGATACACGGATGTACACAAAATACTGAGGAAGCTCAGGGGGGACAGAACTAACCCAAGAGTCACAGGAAGACTTCCTGGAGAAGGTGATGTCCTACTCCCCCTTGAAGAATGAAACAGGTCACCCAGGTATACACATAAAGGAAGATCATTACTGACAGAAGACAAAACATGAGCAGGGACTCAAAATCCTGAAAGAGAAATTTGTATCATGAGAGTGCAACATAGGAAGCCAAAGGTGGCGGTTGGTAGGGCCGGAGACAGGCAGAAATGCCCCGGAGGCCTTGCACACCCCACTGAGGAGAGATCAGAGGGAGCCCCAGAGCTCATGAAGTCGGGGCTCCAGGCTGCCTGCTCGGAGCTCCCGTCGGCTTTGGGAGCTCCAGCTCTTGGTCTCCCGACTTCAATTCTCTTCTCAGAGGTCTCCTTCCCTCCCTTTTGCAAGCTGCTCTAACAGCCACCACTGAAACTCTCACCCACAATCACTCCAGCAAGCACGTCTCCCCTCTTTCGAGCACTTTCAAATTCTCCCCATGTAGCACATTTTTTAAAATGTTACTTGCGTGCTGTTTAGTCCTTCCCTTCCATTCCCCTATTCTGTGCTGAGAGATGGATTTCAAGGTACAGTTTTCATGTAGAATGTCCTTCAGAAAAGCCTTCCCACTCCTCAGGAATAAGCCATGATTGGTTTAAGCCAATTGAGGCATTCTTTATCCCATATCAGTGAAAAAAAATATGAAAGTGTAAGTCGCTCAGTTGTGTCCGACTCTTTTCGGCCCCATGGACTGTAGCTCCTCCATCCATGGGATTCTCCAGGCAACAATATTGGAGTGAGTTGCCATTTCCTTCTCCAGGGGATCTTCCCTATCCAGGGATCAAACCCACATCTCCTGTGTTGCAGGCAGATTCTTTACCACCTGGGCCACCGGGGAGGCCCTAAATGGCAAACTCTCACTTATAAGAAGAGTAAGAGCTGGTGCACAGCATGGTGACAGTGGGGAGTAATACTGTCCTGTGCGCTCAAAAGTTGCTGAGAATAGATCTTAAGCTTGCTCATCATACACCAAAGAAAGGTTTAACTCTGCGAGGTGCGTGCGTGCATGTGTGCTAAGTTTCTCCAGTCGTGCCTGACTTTTTGCAACCCTATGGACTGTAGCCCACCAGGCTCCTCTGTCCACGGGATTCTCCAGGCAAGAATACTGAGTGGGTTGCCGTTTCCTCCTCCAGGGGGTCCTCCTGACCCAGGGATGGAACTCCCTCTCCTGCACTGGCAGGCAGGTTCTTTACTGCTAGCACCACCAGGGAAGCCCCATCACTATATGTTAAATATATACAGTTATTCTTGTCAGTCTTCCCTCAATAAAGTTAGGAGGGAATAAAATTTTAAAAATCAGAAGGTATGGCAAAACTTGCCAGTAAGACAGCAGACTTTGCTGCAAGATTTCTGGAAAATTCCTTCTGATAAAAAGAGACTCTCAGAAGGAAATCAATCCTCTTCTTTGTTTTAGGGTTGTTTTGCTTTCATGTGGCCACTGATGCAGCAGCTATTGTGTAACCAAGCCAAGGTGTCAGAGAGCATGATGGAAAGAATCTGAGTGTCTGATGACACGCCTTTGAGTGGAGGCATTAACCCGCCTGGATCTGCCTATCTTGGGTCTTTTTTTGTCCCGTAAGATAATAACATCCTCCATCTTAGTTGAGTCTTCTGATTCTTTCAGCTAGAGGCATTTCAAGTCTCTTTAGGAATTTCTTTACACATCCTTGTCCACCTGGACCAATTAGACCACTGACCTCACATGCGTGCTTTTTGATATTTTTTCCTTCATTAATCCCACAGGGAGATGGAACGATTTCTTTCTTCTTTGTCTCATCTTCTAGATCAGTGGTTCCCAACCTTTTTGGCAGCTGGCATTCTGGCTAATGCCAGGGACTGGCTTCGTGGAAGACAATTTTTGCATGGACCAGGGTGGGGGTAGACTTCAGGATAATTCAAACACATTTATTGTGCACTTTATTTTGATTATTATTACATCAGTTCCACCTCAGATCCCCAGGCATTAGATCTGGAGGTTGGGACCCCTATTCTAGATTACAGTTGTGCCTTCCTTTGGAATCCTAGTTTAGGTTTATATTCTCTAGGCTATTAAGACAGGTGAACAATCTACATCTCCACCTGTGTGTATTTATTTTAGTTACTAACTTACCTTGTTTGCCACCCATACCTACCTGAGCTGAGCTCTCTGGAAGTATATTCTCTGGTTGCTGATTTAGGCACCGCATATAGTTTCTCACTAACACAGCACTTCACGCACTGGGAGCCAAACAGAGCCAAGGGTCAAAGCCTCAGAACTGGGACAGGGAGGAGAGTGCCTGGCTGAGCGCTAATCAGGCAGAGAGAGACTGAAGGGAAGTGTGTCCCTCGTGGACTTTCAAAATAATGGCCCATGACATTTACGTGGTCAAAAAGATGGCCATACATCCCTGTCATCGAAACTCATTGTCCTAAAATAACCATTAAGGACTAGATGCTGCACGCTCCACTCACCAGCCCACCCAGCCTGGCAGTTACATTGCACTGAGCCTAGACCATACCCTTCTCTGCTCTTCCCAGTTTTTTAAAGGTTTGGCTGATCTTACCCAATGAAAATACTAGTACGTGCCTTTAACTAGATGCTGTTCCGCAAGTTAATTTCAGTATTGCTCTCTGCAACATGCCTGATAATAACAGTATCTCTGGAAGCTCTTCGTTCAGTTACTTTAATAACATTTTAATAACGAAAGCACATGCCATAATGAAGCATGTCCAAACCAGACATGCTTCATAAGGCATTCTGGCTAACGCCAGGTTCTGGGATGCAATTTCTGATTTATAAGCAAATGTGAGTTTATTCTTCTTAAATCTTTGTCTTATTTTCATTATAAAACAACCTGCCTACATAGCATAGTTACTGTAGCCCAACAGTTACTGGGATACCTAGGGAGAATTTGGAATATACTGATAGAGTACTTATTGTGCTGTTTTTGCTGTTGTTCAGTTGCTAAGTTGTGTCCGACTATTTGTAACTCCATGGACTATAGCCCACCAGGCTCCTCTCTCCATGGGATTTCCCAGGCAAGAATAATGGAGTGGGTTACCATTTTCTTCTCCAGGGGAACTTCCTGGACCAGGGATCGAATCTGCGCCTCCTACATTGGTAGTGCTGTCTTTACCACTGAGCCCCCAGGGAAGCCCTTATTATGTACAGGCACCTTCCTTTCACTAAACATTTTGTGTTTTTGTCTGCTTTTTTATCCATAAGCATAAAAAATTGAGGTAATCACATCTCTCCGTTCTTAGCATGAGCCATCATTGGGCTACAGAAGTCATCCTCTCCTTGGCTTATTACCTTCAATCCACAGATCCCCTTTCTCCTCCATTCCTACAGAAGACAAAGTTTGTTTAAAGCATGTTCTTCTATTTGTGTGTTCATGTATAGTATTGATTTCTTTATGTACGCATTTTGCACTTTCA